TTCGGTGGCCTCTGCAACTTGTCATGTGGGGCTCCACACAGCAGATTTCCATCTGCGATGCTTCCCCACAATACGACACGATCCATCTGTGAACAGGGCATATTTCTTTTCATTCTCTGGTAGTTCATTGTATGGTGGGACCTCTTTAGCACGTGATACTTCTTCTGCTGGTGGTGTTCCAAACCTTTTACCTTCAGGCCAGTCCATGACCACCTCTAGGATCCCTGGATGGCTGAGGTTCCCCATCTGCGCTTGCTGCGTAATCAGTGCAATCCACTTACTCCAAGTGGCATCAGTTGCATGGTGGGTGGAGGGACCCTTTCCCTTGAACATGCAGTTCAGCACTGGCAGTCGAGGTGCCAGAAGGATCTGTGTTTCAGTACTGGTTACTTCGGAAGCAGCCCGAACCCCTTCATACATGGCTAAGATCTCCTCAGTTGGAGTGTAGCCCTCTTCAGCCCTCTGTACGCCCCACTCCAAAATCCCAGGGGTCGGCCTTGTGTCTCTCCTGAGGCTCTTTGCCACACACTCCAAGTGGGACCTTTCTCTCCAGCAGCAGCGTAGAGTGTCTCTTTGTTATTAGTGGGTGGAGACATGGCAGTGATTTTGTCGATCACATCTGTTGGGATATGACAACAGCCATCTTGCCACTTAACTCCTAGGAATTGAATTTCCTGGGTGGGTCCTTTCACTTTGCTTTGCTTAAACCAGCGAAACCAGCACGCAGAAGGACCTGGATTATTTGCTCTCCTTTCTCAAAGAATTCCTTTGCTGTGTTGCCCCACACAATGATGTCATCAATGTACTGTAAGTGCTCAGGAGCACCTCCCTGTTCCAGTGTGGCTTGGATCAACCCATGGCAAACGGTTGGGCTATGTTTCCACCCCTGGGGCAAACGATTCCAGGTATACTGAACGCCCCTCCAGGTGAAAGCAAACTGTGGCCTACATTCTTTGGCCAAAGGGATGGAAAAGAAGGCATTAGCAATGTCAATGGTGGCATACCATTTGGCCGCTTTTGACTCCAGTTCATACTGGAGTTCTAACATGTCCGGCACAGCAGCACTCAGTGGGGGTGTGACTTCATTCAGGCCATGGTAGTCCACCGTGAGCCTCCATTCTCCATGGGCTTTATGCACTGGCCATATGGGGCTGTTAGAAGGTGAGTCTTGCTAATCACTCCCTGATTCTCTAGTTGACAAAACAACTTCTGAACGGGGATCAAGGAATCCCTGTTGGTGCGGTGCTGCCATCTGTGCACCGCTTTTGTAGCAATTGGTACCTGTTGCTCTTTCACTTGTAGCAACCCCACAACAGATGGATCTTTTGATAAGTCAGGCAAAACAGACAGCTGCTTAACACCTTCTGTGTCTACAGCAGCTATTCCAAAGGCCTCTCGATACCCTTTGGGATCCTTAAAGTATCCCCTTTTGAGGTAATCAATACCAAGTATACATGGAGCCCCCGGGCCAGTCACAATAGGGTGCTTTTGCCAGTCTTTACCAGTGAGGCTGATTTTGGACTCCGATATAGTCAGCTCTTGGAACCCCCAGTCACCCCATGAATATAAATTGATTTTGTCCCTTGGTGACTCGAGGGCATTTGAGTGCACTGTACACCAGTATCCACCAGGGCCTTATATTTCCATGATTCTGATGTGCCTGACCATCTAATCCACAGTCCAATATACTCTATTATCACTTTACCCCCTTGGCTGGGGGCAAGGTCCCTCTATTTGTTACCTCCGTTGTCTGCAGCAACTGGAGCAGTCACCTTTTTGGAAAAGTTCACTTTGGTGGTTGATTTGTCTTGTACCTTTGATTTGTTCTTTTACCCGTGCTTGAAGTGCAGGAGTAGGTTGTTTATGCCACTTCTTCATATCTTCCATGGTCACATAGGTAATGCCACAAGGCAAAATGTGACGTAATCTTACTGTTGTCACTTGCTCGAGCAGGACATCTTCTTTTGATAGCTGAGATATTGGATGGCACCAGCTGGGAGGAAATCAAGTTGATCAGCCCTTCCAGTAGGCTGTTTTGGGAATTCTGATCCCCATTGGATGTATCTGTTACCACCATGGATTCATCAGCATCAGGCATGGTTGATAGCTTGTCTATTATCTCTTCTTGTTCTCCATTCCGTCCAGCTTTTCAGCTACTTTTGCAATGGTTGAAACACAAGCTCGTAGAGGGCTTAAATGTAACTCAAAGTCTTGAAGTTTATTAACCGATTCATTTATAAGGGGTCTTCTTTCCCTTCTGCCATACGTTGCTGCAAATGTACTGGCGTACCTCTCTGGTGCAGTCTTTGTGAATGTACGCCACATGTTTGGTGTACACCTGTCTCTCTCAGGATCATGCTCTTGGTCTGGCTCGTTAGGAATGAAATGGGGGCTATGTAGCCTTTCCACCACAGCATAATTCTCTTAAATAACGGATGCCTTCTTCCATACCAGTCCATTACTTTTTCTCAGGCATCAGATCGTCTTTGAAAGGTATCTTTCTTTTACAGCTAACAACATCCGCTTCCAGAGAGTAAAGGCCTGGTTCTGGCATGTACTAATGTACTATGCGCACTGTATCCAAGAAATGTTTAAGAATGATCTTTAGCCTGAAGACCTTTGTCTTCAGCCTGAAGTCAGTGGCTGAGTCCCTAGCAATGCCACCCAGTTGGCGAGCTTCTCTACTATCTAGCCACACACTGTTTTGTCCCATTGTCCCAGCATCGAAGTAACCAAGTGGCAATAGGCTCATTTGGGTGACGTGAGAAGTCTTTTCTCAGACTTCGAATTTCATTCATTTTCAGAGATGATCAACAATGGTAACAATATCTTGCTCACGTCCTACTCTTTCAGGACTTCTTGTTGCCCTCATAGGTGTTGGTGACCATGGTCTTACTGAGGGCCCTTCAGGGGCACTTCTCCTGGATCACAGGGCCACTCCTCTGGACCTCTTTCCTCCTCTTTCTTCTCTTCTAACTGAGTCAAGATTCATTTCATTTTCCATCTTCTTACAGGGGCGACTGACATCAACTGTGCTGCCTCCTGTGGTTGATCAGATTGGTCAGTTCCAATGCTTTCATCCTCCAGCTCAGCTTGGAGCCTGTCTCGTTCGATTATGAGAGTATCTAGCTCAGACTGGAGGGTGTCTTGTTGAGATTGAAGACTGTCGAGTTTGGATTGCAGGGAGTCTCTCAATTCGGAGGGCATCTCTCTCAGATTGGAGGTCTTTTCTCTGGAGCAGGAGACTCTCTCGCTCATTTTGTACTGTTTACCTGAGACTCTCCCTTTCAATTTCACAAACTCTCTCCCTCTCCAGGATAGTATTGAATAAGGTCCGATGAGCATCAGCCAGACCCCAAATCATTTGTGCCTCCTCAGATCTGCCTGAGCCACAGCATTCCTGTCTCAAATATCTGCTTAAGCTCTCGGTCTTTCAGGTGTTTAGGAGTAAAGTTCCATGACACTGAAGATTTCCATCTGTCTAAAGTCTTTCCCAGGCCTCTCCACACTCCCTGCCACTCAGTATTCTCTGTTTTTGGGGAGAACTTTCTCAAAATATAATAAATAATAATACTGAGTGAAATGATGAGCAGTACATTCAGGGAGATTAACAGTGCGATCAGGTGAGCATTCAAAAACTGCATAAAGGATTTAAAGGAGAGACTGGAAACCTGCTTAAAAATCCCCAGTCCTGTAAAATTAGCAGCTCCCTCTGGAACTGTATGCCACTCTGTACACAGATACCAGGTACATATTTCCACCAGTGTTCTCAATCGATTGTATATACCTATACTTCCATAGAGCAAAGTGGCGAACTTAATTAAGACCCAGTATGTTTTGAGCATTAAAAAAGAAGAAACAGTGGCATGCAGTCCCTTGAAAGGCAGTTTCAGAAGAGAAAGTTTTTTTTGTTTTGTTTTGCTTTGTTGTGTATTGACAGAAGCAAGATAGCAAGGCTCAGAATTTACAAATATCCTAGAATACTGGCAGTCCGCCTGGACTTTTCAAGGTCACGTTTTCAGAGAGTACCGGTGAAACATAAACTTTCCCAATGAAGCTCTCCAAGAGCAGAGAGATTCGTTCTAAAAAGCTAAAAAGCAGCTGTTGCCCGCATCCTTCACCAAGAATGTCAGTGGTTTACAGGCTGGTTCGGCCCAGTTCCGCGACCAGCAGGGCAGAGGGATCCGCGGATCCGCGCCTCTGGAAAAGGGAAACAGGGGACCCCAAAATAATTGAGAACAGCGGCAACGATCTGAGGTGAAACAAACTAATTTACTAAATATGGTATCGGCAAAATATAATGAGAGAGAGAGAGTGTCTGAAAGGTGGAGAGGCCTCACCACAATGCTGAGGTGAGAAGTGCAGTCCAGTTGAGCCAATGAGGAAAAGCAGACAGAGAAGAGCAGACGGAGAAGCGCGGGAGAAGAAGAGCAGGCGAAGAAGAGAACATCTGGTGACGTTGCAAGGAGTTATATCTCTTTGCTGACTGCAAAGCCCCCTGGGGAAATGTAGTTCTTCTCCTCCGGCAGGCACCTGGAACTTGAGCATCAGCAGTCAAACCCCCAGTGCATTACATGATGTTATCTTGTGGAATACTGATAACCAAAAATCATAAAACCATGACACCTTCCCTGGCACACAGGTCATGGTAACAGGCCTGTAGTTCCCCGGATCCTCCTTACAACCCTTCTTGTAGATGGGATCACACTGGCAAGCCTCCAGTCTTCTGGGACCTCACCAGTCAACAAGGAGCGCTGATAGATAATGGCAAGCGGCTCGGCTCTCACCTCCGCCAGTTCCCTCAGCTCTCTGGGTGAATCCCATCCGGCCCCATGGACTTGTGACAGTCCAGCTGCAGTAGTAGGTCTGTGACTGCGTCCTCCCGAATTGCAGGGAGTTCTGTCTGCACCCCAGCCGAGACTACCAGGTCAGAGAGTGGAGCACCCTGAGGATAACCGGTGTGACCTTTAAAGACAGACATAAAGAAGGCATCCAGAACATCTGCCTTTTCCTTGTCATCACTGGTCACATTCCCAGCCTCATCCAGTAAAGAATGAAGATTCTCCTTAGTACTCCTCTTACCACTGATGTGTTTGTAAAAGGCTTTCTTGTTCCTTTTTACCCCAGCGGCCAGGTTGAGTTCAATCTGGGCTTTTGCCTTTCTGACTTTCTCTCTATACATCTTAACAACTTATCTGTACTCTTTTGGAGTCACCTGTCTTTCTTCCACAGGCGGTAGATTCTCTTTTTCTCCCGGAACCTCAAGAATAGCTCCCTGTTCGTCCATGCCGGTCTTCTTCCCCGCCGGCTCATTTTGCAGCTTGGGGACAGCCAGCTCCTGTGCCTTTAGGACTTCCCTCTCGCTGCTGGAGTTCCTCCTCTGGCTGCCTCCCATCCCCAGCACCCCCTGCCTGATCCCCACCTGCCCGCAGGTCGAGCTGTCGGATGGCACGTCACACACCATCACAGATGCCTATGCTGGCAAGGAGTACATCATCCAGGTGGCCGCCAAAGACAACGACATCGGCACGTGGAGCGACTGGAGCGTGGCTGTGCATGCCACCCCCTGGACGGAGGAGCCCAAGCACCTCACCACGGAGGTTCAGATCACAGGTGAGACCCTCACCCAGCACAAACACCCTACACTCAGTAGTCCGGGGTATGGAGACCCCCAGCACTGGGGGTGTGTGGCAGAGGAGGGCACAGCCCTTTACCACGTGCCTTCACGAGCCTGTGGCCCTGTTGCCTGGTTGGAATGGCCCAGGAGGTGCTGACTCAGCACACCTAGCTCTGGCATCTTCCTCACTGGAGTGCTCCAAGTGCCACGACAGGGCTCTGGATTTATGATTATTTGCTGGAGTGCTGCCCCCCACCATCTCCAGCTCTTCCTCTCCTCCACAGCTCCAACCCCGTGCAATGGCTCGGAGCGATGCCAGTTAGAAATAAAAGCCCCCAAGTTAACAAGCCTCTGTTTCTAGGAAAGAGCTGGGACTGTGTCCAAATGCACGTTATCAGCCCTTGGCTTCCCAGAAGGATGGGAGCGTGCCCTGCGCCGGTTCCCCTGACTGGCACCCGCTGTGGGGTGGCTGGGAAGCACTGGGGGACACTCACTGCCAGGCACTCTGGAACCCTCTGGGTCTACTGTTAAAGAACAGAAAGTCCCATAGACCACACTGTCTCCATTCTCATCATCTTCTCCATCCAGCTTGGCCCTAGAGTAGCACGGTTGGGCAGTGTGGGGATGGGATGCTGCCCTACTCCTGTGGGCAACATCCTAGGGGGCCCCAGCTCCTCTCAGCACCCACTCTCCCTCCCTGCAGAGACGACGAGCACCAGCACTTCCTCTTTCATGCCGCCCCCCACCACCAAGATCTGCGACAAGGGGGCCGGAGTGGGCAGTGGCGCCGTGGCAGTGTGTTGGACAGCTGGACTGGTCTTGGCTGCCTATGGTGTCCTCTTTATTTAGTGAGTATGCCCCAAATGGGGGGCATGAGGGTGGGTGCTGGAAGGGCGTGAAGAGCTCAGGGTCTCTAGCATGGTTGGGAAGGAGACGCTGACCAGCCTGTGGGCGACGGCTGTTGGGTAGGAAGCATTTGGGTTTGCTTGCAGTTCTTTGTCAATAAACCCAACATGGCTGCTTTTCCAAATCGGGTGTTCTGGTGAAGATAGCTGGACGTGGTTTTTCAGACACCTTCTGCAAAGCTTGCAAAGGAGTTGGGCTTAGATGCTCATGTTCAGCCGAGATGGGGCATAAAGGATTTGCCACCCACCAGGAGGCACCAGAAAGTGCACCAAACAGCCTCTCACATACTGAGGCAGAATGTTGAAAGGTGCACACAGTGAGAATGGGGTTGGTGTCTTCTCACTGGTGACAGGTGACAGGATGAGGGGAAATGGACTCAAGTTGTGCCAGGGGAGGTTTAGGTTGGATATCTGGAAAAAGTTCTTTACAGAAAGGGTTGTTAAGCACTGGAATGGGCTCCCCAGGGAGGTGGTTGAGTCACCTCTGAATGTGTTGAAAAACCACTTGGATGGGTTTAGTGGTTGGTTATTTGGATTGCATGATTAGGTCAAGATCTTCTCCAACCTGAGCAATTCTATGAATTCTATATATAACCATGCTTCTGACATAAGTCTCTTTCCAGGAAAAAGTGCAAATGCTGTTGAGCTGTTGGCTGTTTTCTGTTGAGCAAAGATACTACAAGGAAGGCAGTATCTGTGTCCACTGTTCAGGAAAATGCAACTGAGGCTGTAAAATGCTAAAATCCAGTTTATCATTCACGGGTGGGAATGATGTACACTGAGGACAAATACTTCAAAAGAAGCAGCCCAGTCCTTAAAGAACAGGCTGATGTTTTTTAGCAGCAGTGATATTTATTTGCTATACACCTGGAATTTCTTGGGTGTTCTCAGACAAAGCTCTGCCAGGTTCCCTGCTCAGGCATCTGCATCCCCTTGGGAGCAAAGCATTCTTCATGCACGTCAGGCACACAAAGAGATGAAGTCTATTGGCTCCAAGAGGCATAGAAAGAGTTATAAAATTATGCAGAAGAGACAGCTGCACAGCCCTCAACAGGACTCCAGCCTGCAGTTCTGCAGGAGGTATTAGAAGCTGATCTGATGGCTCCCTCTGGCTGTAGGCTCTGTGAGTGAATCTGAAGAAAATGCATTCTGCAGCTTCTCCATTCCTGCAAACATCAAAAGAGCTTGGTAATCGTTTCTTTTCCACATCCGCAAAAATTCTGCTGCACACATTGGAGTTTTGGGTCAATGCAGAAACAAGGAGTTGGTACTGGTTATCTGGTTATCTGGTTATCTGGTTATCACCCAGAGATTCTTAGGAAACGGAGGAAATGGTGAATCCTCATTTCAAGCCAGTCTAAGCAATAGCTTTGGGAATACATTTGGGTTGTGAAAAGGCAGAGGGGCTCAGCTCTTTCCTTTTGTGTTCTAGATGGGGTGGGGGAGACGCTGATTATTATCCCCTTTCCAACAGTCATTACACAGACACTGCATCCAGATTTAAGCTCCTTGGTACTCTCCTGAGTAATCAGGAGAGAGTTCTGCAGGGACCGCTGAGACATTGGGGCTGGAATTAATGCCATGTGAGGAGAGACTGGAGGAGTCGGGCTTGTTCAGCTTTGAAAAGGGATAGTTCTGGAGGACGTAAGAGGGTCCCCTAACAGCTGTGAGGAGATTATTAAGAAGATGGAGTCAGGCTTTTAATGGAGATGCACAGCAGGAGGAACAGGTTAACTTTGAGGGTTTTCCCGTGTCTCCCACTGGGAGAGGGGTCCAGAGATGTTGTGGGATTTCTGACCTTGAAGGTTTTCAAGACCAAGGTGTGCAAAATGCTGAGCAGCCTGGTTTGATGCCATCACTGCCACTGCTTTGTGAACGTTGGACCTGAGGTCCTCTCCAGCCTGAGTGGGTTTGTGAATCTATTAAAGGAGTGGAAATCATAGAATCGCAGAATCACAAAGTTGGAAAGGACCTACAAGATCATCTAGTCCAACTGTTCACCCATTACCATTACTACCACAAGCTACTAAACCATATCTTGTAGCTCCTCATCCAGACACCTCATGAACACTGCCAGAGACAGTGACTCCACCACCTCCCCGGGCAAAGAATAAGAAACAAGAGAAGTCAGTAGCTGTAAATGGTTTCAACACAAAGGACCCTGAAAGATGAATGAGGAAAAGCTGGAGAAAATGACTGCTGGGGTGCCTGCTCTGCCCCCAGTACTTGGTCTGAGTCAGGGGGAAAGCTAATTGTAGCAAGGGCCTACCAGAGCACAGCGCTCTGGGACTGGTAAAGATAAGAGGGACGCACAGCCTAGGATGTCAGAAACACAGATAAATCTCAGCATTTCCTTCTAGATTTGGTCTAATCCCATTTTCTTCTGCCAGTTCCAAAGGAAACAGGAAATTAACAGAGCTGTTGGGAAAAACATCTGTAAATGCTTTGGGCTGGCACAGACATGAGCCATGGGAAAGGCTGTGAGGAAGGTGCTGCTGCCAGGTCTGGATGTGCTGACAAAGCATGCATGGGAAGGCCACCAAGCACCTCAGCCACCTTATGGAGAAACCCCCTCATCTGCAGCCAATACTGCCTCATTCCACAGCCCTCACGAGCAGTTCCTGGTCCTTCTCACCCCTGTGCATTTTGCTCAGCTCTGGCTGGTCTGGCTTGGAAGCATGTGAAAGAGCGTGTATGCAATTTTTCAGTGCACACAGTGACATTCTGACAGTTGTCACTGCAGCCAGAGTTTTACTCCAGGAGGACATAGCCACTCGAGGGCTTCTGTGATAATAAATCAGGAGGTGCCAGTGTGAGGGAATTTTTCTGAAACAAAACAAGGACATTAGTTTTGTGGTGGAGGTACCAAGAGACTGGCAGCTGCATCTCTGGAACACCAGAAAGGAAAGGAACAATCTGTATGGTCACTGCAGTTTCCCTCTGCTCAACAACCACTGCCACTACATCACAAAGTTGAGAAATCAAGTGTATGCTCTCCCTTTGCTCCTTTTATCTTCTCTTGCACCTCATCCGCGGGCAGTTATTCACCCCAAAAGTTTCTCTGTCTCATCATGTTTCTGAGATTTTCTAGGATGCTTTTGCCCTCCTAAGCAGAAACATTCATCCTCTCGTCATGTTTGAATATGAGGACATTGTGGGTGCTACAGGTCCCTTGGCTCTCCTGATCTGTATAGGGTTCCCAGTAATCCTCTGGCAATTCTTCTGGCTGAAAAGTCCCTGCTTTAATGACACCTGCATTTCAATAATTTGTTTATTTTCCCAAGCACCAGCAGAAGAAAACTGAAAGTACTTTCCCTATATTTCTCCTCACTTGTGCTCCTCATTGAAAGTAATTAAAGAATTTGTCTCAACATCTCTCCTCTGCAGGTCTCATCAGTGTTCCTGGTTTAACTGACTTTGGGTTTTGGGGTCAGCATGTCCTGTTTGCATTATCAACGCAAGCCTGAGGTTGTCGTGGTTGGGAGGCCACACTGTGCTGGGAAAGGGATGGATGGGATTTACTGTAGTCAAGGTGCTCAGATTGGACAGCCAGCAGGCTTGCACCCAGGCCTTTCAAACCACTGCTTTCAGGGCTGTTGCTGACCTTGCTCACTCTATGTCCTGCCAAAAGCCAGCTGTGCTTAGCTGAGCTTTGTGCTTTGCTGCAGTATGAGCGTTGCACTCAGCCTTCAAAACCATGTGCTGGCAGGGAAGGTGCTGGCACAGCTGCAGTAATGCCAAATGTCTGCAGCCGTATAAGCCTGCTGGTAAATCCCCCTGCTTGTGCTATGCTGATAGTGGGGTGGGTGAGGGGGCTTGTGGCAGGGAAGGGAAGGAGAGGACAGATCGCTGTGTGCAGTGTGCCTGGAGCTGAAGCAAGTTTGGTCAGGTCTTTTTGCTGCACAATACATGGGCTGTGTTCTCTGCTCATTCCCCAGTGTTCACACATCTGGCAGGAGCCACCCTGTGTTCCCAAGTCTCATGAGCACCAGGACAGTTGCAGCCTCCTGCCATCCTCTTGCAGGCAAACCATCCTGGAAAATGTCTTCCTTGCCCCAGTAGCAGCCATACTATCAGAAGCCTTCCCACCATGCTTGGGGAGAAGATCGCATTTCAGCCACAATCCCCTCATAGGGGAGCATCTGTCTTCTCTCTCAGCTCCTCCTCACAGCCACCCATTAAGTGGGGACTTGATGCTGAATTTCTGGGAAGGGTCACGTTTGTCAACTGTCCATCACATGCTGCAGTCAACCAGGGCCCCCTTCTGTCCTAGTGCAACCAGCTGCAAGCTGCTTCCTTAATATGGGAACAAACATGGGGCTGCAGATGGGCTGGGGGTTCAAAGCGATCCCTCAAGAGGGAGGATGACCTGTTTACTTTGACAGGGCTTGCTTAGTGGGTGGCTGTGGAAACCTCAGCGCACGGCTTTACGGATGTGTTGTGGCTTATCTGTCATGTTGGCCTGGAGTCTCCTGGCTGTGCGAGATTGAAGACTGTAAAATCTGGAGTCAGTCTGCTTGTGCACAGTTCTGGTCAACAACTATTGCTTGCAGCTGAGGACATGAGGGTCTAGTGGGAATGATTTTGAGCTTGCTTCTCCTTGGGCTGGCCACGCAGCCTGACTCTGCAAGCCTTCTGTGGGGACAAGGGACAATGGGATCCAGCCTCTGTGCTGGGATGCATCATGGACCTTTTTGTCACCCTTGCTGCCCCTACGAACTTCCCCCTCGAGGGTCCTGTGTCCAGTGGTCCTGAGTTTTGCAGTGTCACTAAGCCAGTGACTGGAAATGGCTGGGATGTGCTAGAACTGAGCTTTCCCGGGAATTCCCTGCATGGATGCCATAGATTTGTTAGTCCTTGTGCTGTTGTGCAGGACTGCTGTCTGTAAAAGCTGTTTGCAGAAGTAGTCTGGAGCTGTTTGCAAACCTTCCAGGCTGGGTCTTTGCCTTAATCTTTGTGATTAGCTTAAATGGAACACAGCAGCTGGGCAGCTGGGAAGCCTGGGAAGTGGGACAAACACATTTGAAATCCAAAGCTTCCCAGAAGTTGCATTATATTGAGTTCAGTACTGAGAGACTGGAAGGACAGCTTTTTATGTGGACATCCTCTGAGCAGAAGAAGGGAGTGGGTTTGAGTGGAAGCTTGTGGTGTGTGTATTCCAGCAACCAGGGCCAGGCAGGAGAGCTGTGCGGTGAGGATGGAGGAAGGTGTGGGTGCCATATTTTCTCTTGGTTCTTGTTCCACCAGGCCTCTTCTAACACTGAGTTCAAGGCTGGAGAAACCACTGGTCTTCCCAGATGTAGCCCTTTGCAAACCACAGATAACAGCAAGATGGCTGTGAGGATGAGGACGCATCGGGTGTTTGCATGGAGACCCACGAGGGATGCAACTGATCCACTCTGTGTGCCAGGAACTTGGTGTAGCTCCAGCTGCATATCCCCACCTACAGCTTTCTGCACCCTGCTCTTCCCAGACAGCTTGGGGCCAGCTCACTGGGACCTCTCTTGCACAAGGAATGGTTCATGCCTGGGACTTGCCCTTATCATCGTGCTTGGGGATGCATCTCCCATTGAACCTGGGAGCTCCCAATGGGTTTAGGAAGAGTGACAACCACACAAATTAATTCAGTCTGTAAACCTTTGCTGCAGGGCAACCAGGGGTCACTGCTCCTCCTGAGCACACAGGGAAGCCTGTGGCAGTGGGGGGTGAATGGACACTGCACATAGCTCTGGGGAAGTCCTTGAAGAGAGATTTGGGTCTGCAATCTCCAATGAGTGTCACTCACCCCAAGGAAAGATCTTCTGATGTCCCATGTCATTAACTTAGTGTATATAAAGTGCCTCTTCCAGCAAAGTGCGCTGAGCCCAAGAAGCAGCCAAGTCTTAGGACAGCGGGGATTTCCAAAAGATTTAGTAAAAAATGTTATAATATTTGACAAGGGTACAGGGATGAACAAGAAAGACGGTGCACGTGTCTGGTGGACCACTTAGTAAATAGCACATCCCCATGCTGGAGAACATAATAAAGTATTTTTCAATAAGACAGTGTTTTTTCCCGAAATCTCTATTTGACTAAGGAGTTTGCAAGGCAGATAACATCAAGTGGGAATGGAGAGCAACTTGACCTCCAAGGGCTGTTTGGATGTTTAGAGTTCTCCTTATCTTTGCAGTGCTATAGCCAAAGTGGCTGTGTGTGATCCTGGCTGGATGCAGAGCTCAGGCTCGGCAGCAGAAGTTGTACTTACTCTTTTAATTCTCCGTGACAGAAGAGGAACTGTGAACTTCATCAGGTTCCAAAAGAGCTATCCAGGCAACTAAGTCAAATCTGATGATTGGAAGGTTGAGTTTCTCCCAGGCTGAGGCTGCTTACATGACAGTTTGGTGGTCCTGGTTTCCTGTGGCTCCCAGGAAAAGGAGCACACAGCAAAGACAAAGAGAGCAGGAGCATCGTTGGAAATTTCAACACTAAAATGGTACAATGAGACTGTTGTTTTGCAATGCTGGCAACTCTCAGAGAGACCTTTGGGACTGGAGCAGAGCCCTGCACAGATGGGAATTAGGGCCATGGCCCTTGTGGTCTTCCTGGGGGTGCAAAATCCCCCTCCTAATTGCAAACGCAGTCAATTACTGTTGGGATATGTGGGGCATGATCTGGTCTGAATCTAATCTGGGCTGCCCCAGAGCTGCCCCAGATGTCCTCCAGATATCTGCAACAATCAGAGTCTGCTCTGTTGCCAAGAGTTTGGGATAGAACCCTCTGGAAGAGGCAGGAATGGAACCTTTGGACCACAGTATACTACAAGCAGGAGCTGGACCTCCAGAGCTGGACTGCAAGGCTCCCTGGGTACGTGCAGAACCACTCTGCAGCATAGACTCCGGAGGCAGATCTGCTCTGAGTGCATGGGGATGCCAACTCCAGCAGTGTCTGTGTTCCACAATGACCCTGGTTGTGCTAGAATCATCTTAAGGTCTCCATTGCTCTCTGCAAAGGAGAAAGGCTACAATGAACCGTTCTCTAATGAGAGGGAGATGGAAAGAGATAACTGCCAGAGCACAGGGAAAAACAAGATTTGGAGCTGGGGCTCTGCTTGATGCACCCCAGCCGGCCAGTGAGTCCTTCGGCTCAGCGGGTGGCTGCAGGCAGTGTTCAATGGTCTGGAAGCAGTGTGGGGCTGGAAATTCCCTTTGGGGCTGGGGATCAGGCAGCACGGCTGTTTACAGTGAGGGAGCAGCAGGGAAGAGTTACAGGGCCAGGCACCGAGAGACCTCCCGGCAGCATCCGCCTGCCAAAGCTTTGGAGACACGTCACGTGGATGGAGACAAGACTGACCAACTTGTTGGGTTAGAGGAGCTCTGAGGGTGTTTCTTGTTTTCTAGGGTATTATTTGTGGAAACCGGGTGCTGTAAACATGGGAGAGGTCAACACTGCAATCATTGTGTGGAATAAACTGTTGGCCATGGCCAACCACAGTGATGGAGAATTACTTGCAGGTCTTTCGTTTCTTTTCAAGCTCTGCAGCTTTGAGCCAGAATTTGTGTCTGACAAGTGCCGCTGTAGGAGAAATTCGGTGGAACACAAAGTATTTGGGTGCCTGTAAAGGCTGCATACCAATCTGCTGCACTATAGACACCTATTATATCTTCCCAGTGCCATAAAGGGAGATTCTGTCTTGGTTACACCATATTATCTCTTTAAAAATCTTTTTATGGGTCCTTCTTCATCCTTTTCTCAATACCTTATCCTTTTTCCTTCTGAAAGGCTGACACCAGAATGGACTGTGTCAGCAGCAGTCTGCTGATGTGCCTGTGCATGGACGTACATCACTTCCAAAGCTCAGAGCGTGATTCCTTGGCAGTAGTGCCAGCCATGAGTTTTGTAAGCACAGGTTATTTTTTTTTTTTTTGGCTGCTGAAACTGTTGAAATTGAGCATTCTGGTAGACTGGAGGACTGTCTGTATTATGCTTACACAAGAGTGGCTGGCCTGATTGATCACATCTCTGAGCTCAGTCAGTGATAGTTCCTGGCCTGAGATCAGACAGGACAAACATACCCATTTCTTCTGTCCTTCATGTTTATCAAAATAAAGCTCCCTAGCCATGGCCTTTCAGTCTCAGCAGCACTCCGGCTGTTCCCAGTGCAAAGCAGCTGGACGATTCTCCTAGAGCTAAGACGGGTGCTACCACTGCAAGGTCCTGGGGCGCTTTGGCAGGAAGATGCTCCCAGGAGGTCTCTTGGCACCTGGCTCTGTAGCTCTGTCCTGCTGCTCCCTCACTGTAGCCATCATGC